CAGGGAGAAATTCCTCCTCCTGTCCCACCTGAGCCTCCCCTGGCACAACTGGAGGCCGTTCCCTCTCCTCCTGTCCCTTGTTCCCTGGGAGCAGAGCCTGACCCCCCCCCGGCTCCCCCCTCCTGTCAGGGGGTTGCAGAGCCAGAAGGTCCCCCCTGAGCCTCCTTTGCTCCAGGCTGAGCCCCCCCAGCTCCCTCAGCTGCTCCTGCTGCTCCAGCCCCTTCCCAGCTCCATTCCCTTCCCATCTCCTCCATGTCCTTCTTGTCCTGAGTAGAAGACAAGCCATTGAGTCCCTCAACCTTTTCCTCATCCTTTATGTTTCCCCCCATGGAGACTCTCCCTCCTTTTGCTGCTGATGTATTTATATAAACCTTTTTAAGTCTTTCGTGGCAGTAACCAGACGAAATTCTTCCTGGGCTTTGGCCCTTCTCGTTTTCTCCCTGGGTGACCTCCTGACACCCTCGTCTTCCTGAGTTCCTGCCCCTTCTTGAAAGGTCCAAACTCCATGTTCTGGTTTAATTTCTGCTGTTTGCACAGCCCAGGGCATTCAGTGTTCACCTGCTGGGCAGAATTCAGACCTGGCTGGAGATGGAAAACAAGTCCCAATTTCCTGGGGGTGGAAGGGCTCAAGCCCTGGGAAGTGACCCAGGGATGTGTTTTTGGAACCAACTCTGAGGGGAAAAAACAAACATTTTTCTCTCTCTTTTGCCCGTGAAATGAAGGCTCAAAGAGATCAAAGGCAAAGCCTATTTTTGGTTGCTGTGTTTGGGGCACCCCGGGCCTGGTTTTGGGGTGAGTTTAGTGCTCCCAGCTCAGCTCCTGCGGGTCCCTTCTCTTCCTGAAGTGCCAACTCCAGCCTAACTCATGGGAACATAAACGTGCCAACAGCTTTGAGCCTTGGCTTAATAGATTGAAATGCTAAAACACAGCAGGAGTTTTGTTCCGAACATGAGTGCAGCTCAGGAAAGATGAAGGTGTGTAAAATTAATGCTGACGAGAGGAGAAAATGAGATTTTTTTTAAAGATTTCTGGCGCTTCCACTTCAAAACACCCTTATTGGGGCTGCTCCCATCTCCCCCCCATCCTTGGAGTGTCCTGATCCTGGGATCAGGGCCTGTCATCCCAGGAATTCCTGTCTGAGCCCCACTTTAACCAGGCGTCAGGTGTGTCCCTGCTCCCCCTCCCTGCACTGATCCTATTTAGATGGAAGGATACAAAAGCCCCATTAGCCTGAGCTAATCTGAGTAATCAGAATTATTTAACAGCCTTGTTTTCTCTGTACTGAGTGAATGTAGCACATCCAGGAGATCTTCCTATGCACAAGGAAACCCCGATGAAAGCTCATGAGCACCAGACTAAATTAAAATCGTTCCTAATGCCCATTGAAACCTTACACAGGAGTTTTAATGAGATATTGCTGATTAGAACTAGTTCCAGGATACCTGCCTTTATCCCTTTTTCCCTGGGATTTAGCAGTAATTTGTATTTTAATGGCCCAACACTGTCCTTTTGTACAGCTCTATTAGATCCTTTCAGATTTTATCCCTCCCCTTTTTGATGGGAAGACAAATTCCACGGGATTTTCACAATGCAGACATAACTCTGGATTTTTACTCATTGTCCAGCATTCCAGCCCTTCCCCAGAGTCTGGGTGAAGGTGAAGCCTTTGGAGTAACCACAGTTGTTATCTGTAGGAGTGAGTGAGTTTCACCCTCCCACCCTTCCAATGTTTGTTCCCACTTGGATTCTGATTTTTTTTTTGTTTGTTTTAGTCTCTATAAATAAAGCATAGCTTTTGGAGAAACAATAATGGGGGGGGGGGGGGGGGGAATAACCCAAACAACAAGAAAAAGCTTTAGAGAAAGGCAGAGAGGGCCTCAGGGACCTGGGAAAAGAGGGAAAGAGCCTGAAAATCAGAGGCTGTCTTTTATCTGCCCTATTTCCACAGCAGAAATCAAGGAATTTTAAGGTTTTGAATCCAATTTACAGTTGCCATAAGATCTGGACTTCATCCATTTCTCTTATTCTCCTTTAAAATAGATCAGGGCAGATCCTTTGGGTTTCCCTCATTTCTCTCTTTGGGTTGGGCAGATCCTTTGGATTTTCCTTGTTTCTTGCCTTTAGGTTGGGCAAATCCCTTGGGTTTCCCTCACTTCTCTCATTTATGTTGGGGAGATCCTTTGGGTTTTCCTTGTTTCTTGTCTTTAGGGTGGGCAGGTCCTTTGAGTTTCCCTCATTTCTCCCCTTTGGCTTGGTCTGTATATCTCCAGGACTATTCTGCTGTAGGGAGATCTGAGGGTCTTCTCTGAACCTAAAACACCTCAAAATTTAAATATTTAAACATTTTAAAAGTGTAAAATTTAAATATTTCTGCTGCCTCAGCCTGAAGTCGGCACAAATACATCCACAAGTAATTCCAAGTCACCCCACCAGGATCTCACCTTTGGTAATTCCCAGGTCTGGGATGGCCTGGAAACCCCTTTTTGGGTGTCCCTGTGTGTAGAAGGGTGAATTATTCCCTCTCCCAGGAGTTTGGGAGCGGGTGGGGTGAGAGGAGGGGGGGATTCCACTGTGGCTGAAAGTGGAGCAGAAAACAAGAGGGGACTTTGTCACTGCACATGTCTGGGAATATTTTCCTCCTGGCATTCCCATTTTCCTCCTGCCATTCCCAACCTTCACGTTATCCCTGTTTGCTCACAGTTCATTAAAGGAGCCCCTGAGCACTGCCCTCATCCCAATCCTCCCCTTATCCATCCCAAATCCACACCTGCAGCAGATTGGTTGGTTCCCCTCCCGAATTCCAGTCAATTGGAATAAATAATTTGCAATTGAGTTCCTGCTGCAATTCTGTGGATTTAAACAATCTTAATTATGTTCAGGGGGGAAAAAAAAAGTCATTAATCTCTGGTTTGATCATGGCATTTAATCAGTTGTAGCAATTAATTCCCAGTATTTCCACCATAATTATTATTAATTATAATTCATTCCAACCATTTCTTTAAAAGCAGTTGATTTTATATATGAATATACATGCGTAGATCTGAAAACTGTCTCATTCCTCTTTAAAACAAAGGAATATGTATATTTTTTTATATATTTTTATATATATATATATTCAGCAGACTGGCTGAGTGTCTCCAGGTTTGAGGCTATGCTGAGTTTAGAACTGTCTGCAGTTCAGCTCCTCTGGGAACCAGGGGAGTGTGAATTCATCAGATGCCTCTGAGGCCTGTAAATGTGTCACCTTGTTTTCTAAAGCTTGTCTTACTGAAGCAAGAGCAGAGCAACAGCTGGGAAAATGCAACATTTCACTCCCAGGCAGATATTTATAAGGAAAACCAGGGATTTCACCGGTGGTGTCACGTTAGCACCGGTCAATGTGGGACCATTGCTTAAGGTTTGTTTGAAAAAATACCTTTTTACTACAAATATTCAATGTGGTGTCAAATCTGGAAACGGGCAAAGGAGGCACGAGAGGATTTTTGGCAACAAAAAATCTGGGAAGAAATTGGATTTTTTCCACAAACAGGCTGTGGCTGAAGCGATTCTCTCTTGGCTGATTCAGGAACATTTCAGGGAGATTGGGCTGGGAGGGAGCAGGAGCTGAAGTATTTTTGTTTTCTGTCTGCTTTGTGTAACTGAAGTACAAGTGGTTACCCTGGGAATGAGGGATCTGTCTTTTTTACTGAGCTATTAATCATCTTCCAGTTCTATGTGTAGAGACAGCAAAGGACAGAATCACTGAGCCTGCCTGGCTAAAATGGGCCTGTTGTGTTCTCTATTTTGGTCCAGAGAATTTCCAGCTGTAAATCTGGGCTTGTGCAGCACTGGAAAAAAAAAAAAAAAAGCTTTTTTTTTTTCTTAGTACATTTAATGTGCTATTTTCCAAATGAATTGGAGCACCAGAGTTTGATGGTATGTGGGTGGCAGTGCCTTCCTACACCTGCACCAGGGATGAAAGGTGGGTTTAAATGGCTTCAAACTGGAAGAGAGTAGGTTTGGTTGGGATATTGGGAAGGAATTCTTCACTGGGAGGGTGAGGAGGGGCTGGGATGGAATTCCCAGAGAAGCTGTGGCTGCCCCTGGATCCCTGGAAGTGTCCAAGGCCGGGTTGGAGCAACCTGGGCTAGTGGAAGGTGTCCCTGCCCATGGCAGGGGTGGCACTGGATGGGCTTTAAACTCTTTTCCAACCCAAACCATTCCAGGATTCCAGGATTCTGTGGCTCTGGTACTGCCCAGAAGGCAAAGCCCTTTGAAAGCAGGGAAGCAAATTCCCAAACTGTGCCCAGAGTTCCTGTCAGGTTGGTTTTGGCTCCCTGCCCTGCTGCTCCCCAGGGATCCCTTTACACCTCCTCAAGCATTTCAGGATCCCTAAAGTGACTGAAACTGCCCAAAGCCAGAATTTCCACGTCTTTTGTGGTTCCTTTGGGCTGCCAAAGTTGTGGAAAACAACTGTGCCAGAACTGGCACTGCTGCCCAGCCTGGCTGAGTGGGGTTGAGCTGAGGCAGCAGCTCTGCCCTGAGCTGTTCCTGCAGTGTTTGCAGCACTGTAGGTTCCTTGCCCTCAGAGTCTGCACCTCCTTTATACCCTCTGCTTTCCTTCCAGCTGGGAAACAGGAGTGATTCCTGAGCTCTGGGCCTGGATCAGGGCATTGTGCTGAGCTGGAAGCACAGCCAGGAGTTTGCTGGGAGCTGGGCTGGAACTGAGCCCCACCACAGCCAGGCTCCTCCACAGGGCAGGGAGCTCCAGCAGCAGTGGATTCATAGGATTCCCTGAACTGGAAGGGACTCACAGAATCAAATCCAACTCCAGGCTCTGCCCAGGACACCCCAACAATCCCACCCTGTCCCTGGGAGCGTTGTCCAAACCCTCCTGGAGCTCTGGCAGGTTTGTAGGTTAAGGTGATTTGCCTCCCTCTCGTCTCCTTGTTGTTTTGGGGCTTTCTTGGACACATTTACCTGCTCTCTTCTTCCTTAGTTTCTTCTCCTGCCTGTTTTAGGTGTCCACCCTGCCATGGAGGAGCATCTTCACCTGCTGATGGATCAGCAAACCTGTGTTTTTTCCCTGCTTGCAGAATCATTGAGGTTGGAAAAGCCCTGCCAGCACCGATCCGTCCCCAAGGTGCACATTAAAGACAAAATGATGTGAGTATAAAGATATAGATGAATTGTGGAATCCCTGAAGCTGGAAAAGCCCTCCCAGCCCATGGATCCCCCCTGTACCCGATGCCCACCTTGTCCCCAGCCCAGAGCACTGAGTGCCACGGCCAGGCCTTCCTGGGACACCTCCAGGGCTGGGCACTCCAAACCTCCCTGGGCAGCCCCTGCCAAGGCCTCACCACCCTTTCCAGGCAGAAATTCCTCCTCCTGTCCCACCTGAGCCTCCCCTTGATGCTTAATAGGTTGATCACTCAGTTCTCTGGACTCACTGACACCTCTTTGCCCCCCACAGAAGCTGGGCTGAGATGTGTCAGACAAACCATATCATGTCTCACCTCCCCCGGTGAAACAGGATCTACACAAAGGTCAGGGCAGGAAAAGCAAAAAATAATATGATTATTAGAATTCTGCAGTGCAAGTTGCATCTTTTTATCCTGAGAAAAAAAAACCAAAAAGCACTGGGGCATTGTGAGACATGGAATTAATGGAGACAGTCCTGATTAAATGGGTGGCTGCCTCTCATAGCAATAAAAGAATTTATGGAAGACCACAGCAGTTCAGCACAGATCAGCTCAAAATACATTCTGAGGCTAATCATGGAGCCTGAGAGCTGTGCAGAGAGTGCTGAATTAATCAGGGGCTCTGGACTATGAAGCACTGGGAAAGGGAGAAAAGAGAAAGGGACTCATGTCTGCTCACTGAACTGCCTGGAGCTGAAACGGTGCCCAGGGACCCCTAGAACAGGAGTCAGCAAAAGGAGTGACCTTCATTAGCCAAGTGCTGACTGGGCACTTTCTGGGGCTGCTTTCAAATGGCTCAGGGAAAGAAATGTCAGGGGAAAAAAAAACATGTGCTTGGAATCAACAGCAATTCCCAGCCTGTGAACAGCCCCTGGTTTCAGAGGAGGGGCCTGTTTGGGGCCTCTAAGTGACAGCAGGATTTGGGCTTTGTTGCCAAGTGCCTGCCTTGTTATTTAGTCTGTTTAGCCCTCAACTCTCCAGGGGAAAAATGGGTGTAATAATTCCTCTTTCCTCTCCAGTTCTGTCTTATCTGTTGGGTTTGAAAGCATTTCAGTGCAGGGATAACCTTCTTTCCCATAAATACCCCTGTGCTGGGCACAGCAGGGACACTTTGTCTCGTGTCACAAATAATTGTGAGGTGTGTTTTTCCTTGCCTGACCATTAATGTAAGGGGACAGAAATGGTCCTGTCTCCCTGCCAGCATCTCCCAGAGCTCCCTGGGATGCAGGTGGGAGATGGGCACCTTTCTGGGGTGGATCTCCTGCAATTAGGACATAAATTGAGCTGGTTGTTCAGGTAGCAAGTGCACTCATTGCTCCATTTATTCCAGCCAGGAGTGTCCCTGCAGCAGGACCAGGGAACTGCTGGGAGAGAATTGCTGCAGAGGCAATTCCTGCAGTGAGGAATGTCCATCAGGAGGTGGAGAGTGAGGGAAGTGCCAACCTCTCTGAAGAGAGCTGGCAAAGAGAGCCCTGGGGTCTCCTGGCATTTTGTGCAGGTCACAAATGATCCCACAAGTTCATGTCCTGGAATGGTTTCCCCAGGGATTTTGTGCAGATCCCAAATGATCCCCCAGGTTCATGTCCTGGAATTGTTTCCCCAGGGATTTTGTGCAGATCCCAAATGATCTCCCAGGTTCATGTCCTGAAATTGTTTTCCCCAGGGATTTTGTGCAGATCCCACATGATCCCAGAGGTTCATGTCCTGGAATTGTTTCCCTAGGGATTTTGTGCAGGTCACAAATGATCCCCCAGGTTCATGTCCTGGAATTGTTTCCCCGAGGGTTTTGTGCAGATCCCAAATATTCCCACAGGTTCATATCCTGGAATTGTTTCCCCAGGGATTTTCTGCAGGTCACAAATGATCCCAGAGGTTCATGTCCTGGAATTGTTTCCCCACTTTCCCCTCTCGTGCTCCCCACAGGGACTCAGAGCAGCACAGCAGGAGTTTTGGGCACCCTGAGCAGTGTCCTCTTCAGGAAGTTGCTTCACCCTTGGAGGCTGCAAGGACCTCTCTGAGTTCCCCATTCCCATGTGTTTGAGGAGGTCACTGGTGGTGGCAGATCCTGAAAAAATTATGGAATCCTGGAATGGTTCGGGTTGGAAGGGACCTTAAAGATGATCCAGTGCCACCCCCTGCCATGGGCAGGGACACCTTCCACTAGCCCAGGTTGCTCCAAGCCCCGTCCAACCTGGCCTTGGACACTTCCAGGGATCCAGGGGCAGCCACAGCTTCTCTGGGCAACCTGGACCAGGGCCCCACCACCCTCCCAGCCAGGAATTCCTTCCCAATATCCCATCTCTCCCTGCCCTCTGGCAGTGGGAAGCCATTCCCTGTGTCCTGTCCCTCCATCCCTTGTCCGCAGTCCCTCTCCAGCTCTCCTGGAGCCCCTTTAGGACCAGGAAGGGGCTCTCAGGTCTCCCTGGAGCCTTCTCTTCTCCAGGGGAACCCCCTCAGCTCTCCCAGCCTGGCTCCAGAGGGGCTCCACCCTCGGAGTATCTCCGGGGCCTCCTCTGGACTCTCTCCAGCAGCTCCACGTCCTCATGTTATTGTTCCCAGGGCTGGAGAAGCTCTGCAGGGGAAACTCACCTGAGCAGATTGAGGGGGAGAATCCCCTCCCTTGACCTGCTTGGATAGGTCCTTCCATGGACCTTGGATATGTCCTTCCAGGTACCTTGGACACATCCCTGGGCAGGAGGTGAATCCCCCCTGAGGCCCATCTGCTCTGAGCCGCCTCAGCAGCCCCCACATCACCCCACAAGGATACTCACCCTGTAGAACTCACAGCAAAAACAACTTCAGGGGAAAGTGATGCTGATAAGAACAAACAGAGAGATTAAGCCCAGCTCCTCCAAGCTGTGTTTAGCCCTTTAATTCCCACGGCAAACAGGAGCCCTCAGGGGCTTGGCATGAGCTGAGCCAGTTAGAAAAGCATCAAGATTAGACAAAGCTGAGTTTGCTTTCCTTTGATCTGTAACTCTCTCCTGGTTTTTAAGGATAAAACGTGAGGCAGGAGGCCTTTCCCAGAGCAGGGAACAGAACTCCCAGCTCCCACTGCCAGGGGGGCTCTGTAGAGACCTCTGGGGAAAGGGATGGGGCAGGAGGTGAGGTGGGGACTTGTGTTTGGGGTGGCAGGTTTGCCATTTATCCCAGAATCCCAGGATGGTTTGGGTTGGAAGGGACCTTAAAGCTGATTGTGTTCCACCCCCTGCCATGGGCAGGGACACCTTCCACCAGCCCAGGTTGCTCAGAGCCCCATTTAGAGACAGGCAGCATTCCCAAAAATCTCCCCAACCACAAACCAAAACGCACCCGAGTTTTAAAATTGCTTTATGCAAAAAATATTGATATGCCCTTTAAAATTTTAATTTTGCTTGCTGTATTTTGTTCCACAGAAACTCCCATTCCAGGAACACTGGGAAGATGAAGAGTGAAGAAATGAAGTCCCAGGAGATGTCAAGCACCTCTTGGTGTTCAGGAATTCCTCATGAGATGGTGTCTTCTTGCACTGATTCATCCCCAAGGTGCACATTAAAGACAAAATAATGGAAGTATAAAGATATGGATGAATTGTGGAATCCCTGAGGCTGGAAAAGCCCTCCCAGCCCATGGATCCCCCCTGTGCCCGATGCCCACCTTGTCCCCCAGCCCAGAGCACTGAGTGCCACGGCCAGGCCTTCCTGGGACACCTCCAGGGCTGGGCACTCCAAACCTCCCTGGGCAGCCCCTGCCAAGGCCTGACAGCCCTTTCCATGATTAAATTCCTCCTGGTGTCCAACCTGAGCCTCCCCTGGCACAGCTGGAGGCTGTTCCCTCTCCTCCTGTCCCTGTTCTGTACAATTACCCAATTAACTGGTTCTCTTTTAGATCCCAGCTCCTCGTATCATCCCCCATGCCATGGATGATGATGGATCCACAAACCCCTGTACACAGCTCGGTGTTTTTGGGGAATATTCTCCAAGATGGGATTCCTACCTTAAGCAGCAGCTTTGTGTCCACTTGGGGGATGTTGCAGGACACACCAGTGAAGCCATTTCAGGGCTTTGGGAGGGATATTCTGAATAATCCCAATGGGAATATTCCATTATTACTGTTGCAGCTATTTTAGCATTTAGGGAAAGAGCCATCTGAGCCATCCATGGAGCCCCTCTGGATCTGGGATGGATCTCCTCCTGTCCCTTGTTCCCTGGGAGCAGAGCCTGATCCCCCCCAGCTCCCCCCTCCTGTCAGGTACCTGGATCATTCCTTGTTCCCATTTTTCCAAGCTGCCTGTTCCTCCAGCAGTTTTTAGCTCATAATCTCAAACAGCTGTTCCATGAAAGCCTCTCAGTCTGGTACAAACCCCGGGATGCCTTTCATCGTGGCAAGTGAGGAGTTTAATGATGTCTCTGTGCTAACTGCCAGCTTTCATATTCCTCAGTAATTGTGTTGCAGCCTGCCCTGGTGCATCTGGTGGAAGAACAGCTGCTCAGTTAGATCCTGCTGTCAGGGATTCAGGAACTGGACATCAAACAAAACGTGGAGGGCCCAGGACTTGGCTCATCTGTGTGCTCAGAACCAGCCCCAGCTGCCTCAAGCTGCTGCTGAAGTGATTTTTTTTAAGAAGTAGATTGAAGGAAGGACCTCAAGTGCAGCTCGGATGTGGAAAGAAAGACTCCTCCGAGTGATGACAGAGCTTGGTGGCCTCGAAGTTCCCAGCAGATGGTTCCCCCAGGGCTGATCACAGCTTCAGCTCTCACTGATTTGGCAATTTTGGGTGGCTTCCTGCCAAAACCCACCTAAAAAATGGCAAGCAGTGCAGTTTGGGAAATTGGACAAGAGCAAAGTCAACTGTGATGGAACCAGCACCAGTCTCCTGCCATCACCTTCAAGTATCAGGTTTGCTTTGTTAACACTTCAGCCCTTTGCTCCATTTCCCATATTTTTCCTGTATTTTTCTCATATTTTTCCCATATTTTCCCTATATTTTTCCCATAACAGTGTGTTCTTATCCGGGAGGAACTAAAGAGTCTGGTAGGCCAAGGAAAGTTAAGCAGATCTTGATCACTTTCCACAGTTACACTCCTGTAAATTGTCAGGGAACTTACAAAAAGATTTTGAGGAAGGAAAGTGCTGGATTTGAAAAACTTCTGTCGTGCTGCAGCTTTTTCCAGCTGTCCTGAACACCGAGATATTCCAGGGTTTTTTATTGGTTTGTTTTATAAAAACCATAAAACCATCTAAGAAAAAAAACCCCCTTCTTTTTTATCTTCTTTTTTTAACTGCTTTTTCTGTGACAAAGTAAAAAAAAACCAAAACCAAAATCACAAAAAAAAACCAAAACACCACATAAAATCAATTTTCATTTAAATTTTTTATCATTTCCATCTGCAGGAGCTTAATTGCAGATCAATGGATTTTAATTGGCTTCAGCTCACCTCACAGTTCCCATTTCAGCCACGCAGAAGAATTTGGAACAGCAACACAGGGGAGTTCCAGCAAGGTGGAGCCTGGACCTGCTTGAGGGAGAGTTTTGGAGAGGCCTGTAGTTGGTAAGTGGTGAAAAAGGAGGAATTCAGTTGTATTTGGATGCTGTGGAGTAGTACAGGAGTTTTTGGACAAATATTATGTCTTGGTGGAGGTGACACCACATATTCTTCTTTAGGAAAATAGGAAGAATTGGCTTAACTTGGAGCAGGAATTTAAATCTCACAGTAGAAAGAATGTTCTTTACTCTGAGGGTGGGAAGGCCCTGGAATAGAATTCCCAGAGAAGCTGTGGCTGCCCCTGGATCCCTGGAAGTGTCTCCAAGGCCAGGTTGAAGCAACCTGGGCTAGTAGAAAGTGTCCCTGGAACAAGATGGGCTTTAAGATCCCTCCAACCCAACCCATTTTATCCTTCTGCTCTTCTCTGATGTTAAATACAGGGGCAGTTAAGCAGGTCCCGAGCACTTCATTTTAAACTGGAATTCAATAATATTTTTTTACTTAATGGAAAGTCTTCAAAAATTACCCATTCAACCATTCACTGCTCCTTTGGAGTGGATTTTTGGAATCAAGAAAGGACACCCCAGGGGGGCAGGTTCAGAGGTGTGACCTTGGTGCTTTATCTCATGGTTTGGCCCCACAACAGGAGCAACTTCTTATCTGAGGGACATCTCAGCAGCAGGACTTAGTGGGACCTCAGAGAAGAAAAATATGGAAAATTTTGGGTTCCAGCTCTTTGTTCCAAGTCAAAACAGGATCCCAAAGATTTCCCTGCTCCCCAGGGCTGCTGCAGCCAAAGGGGAGGGTTTGGTTGCTCAAAATTTACCCTGGGGCTGTGTCTGCCCACAGAGGTGCCCTGAGCTTTAAGTTCATTCAAGAGTTCCCTCCTAAAGCTTCACCACATGAGGAGATCAGAGATCATTGGGAGATGTTGGTCTTGGCTCTTGTATCCACAGAGAAACACAGGGTACAGGTTTAGGTGGAAATTTTGCATCTCCCAGCCCCTCAGTAACATTTTGGCCCCAGAATTCCCCCTCCCATCACTTATTGCTTTCTCCACATGAAGAGAAACATTTTCACATTGGAACATTACAAAATCACAATTCCTTGGCCCAGGCATCCACGGAACTGCCAAGGTTCCCTTTGCCTCCAT